CCCAAAACCCCAAAACCCCAAAACCCCAAAACCCCAAAACCCCATTAGGGTAAATCAACTGAAAACATAGTTTACTAAGATTAGGATTAAATATCGATCAGAATATTATCTAGTTTATAATGCTGTGTTAATAAGAATAGATAGTAGATTTATAACTTATCTTATTAGATTGATAAATAATATTTATATCTTTTTCCCTCAATTATGAAGTTTGCCTAGCAATTCGACTTTTACAAGATACCTGAGTGGTATTCTGACTACTTTGATTATCTAAGATTCAAGGCACTGTCCTAGAATTTTAATGATAAAGTTAAATGTATGTTCTTTGCATTGATATATTATTTAGATGATGAAATGTAGAGACTTGGGGGATTATATACACTTACATCAAGGTAATATCATTATCTTTGGAATCCATTAACCATTTAATTCCTTCAACTAATTGTGTCAATAATCATATAATGTAGGAATAAAGTGATCAAATTTGATTTACAATCATTTTCTTTCAATAAATCTTAATAAGTAACCCCAACTAACATCAGTTAAAGTAAATATAGAATATTTATAGTTCATTATAGATTCTAAAAGCCCGTAAAATATGTTTAGCCTCCTTGCATAAGAAAATGCATTTTATAACAATGATTTAACAGAAGAAGATTAAATTGAGCATAATATCATTAGAGAATACTATAAGGAAGCACATGATCATAGCTATAATAGAAAATATTCAAGATTTTCTTTTGGTAAGAGTAGATCAGTCAGCCAGAATGTGGATCCAAATATGTTAAAAAAACTGAAAACATTTCGTGATGATGATCCTCTATCTAATTAACAGAAATAGCAGCCATCATTAAGAAGAGCAAAGAGCAAATTCCTTGGTGATAACCCAAGCAATGTTGAAGCTGAATTAAATTATATATTGCCAAAACTTGATTGGAAGCTGATAGCATAAACTGAGAATCAGATCTCTAGCATTAAATGTAAGCTTTTATGTGCTTGAAAAGTATAAATTAGTGAGAACTGAGGGTGAAGCTGCCATGAGAGATTGGGTTTCATAATTAGTTGAAGAAATTGATAGACTTGAATCATTCTATAAGGATAGATTAACTGAATTAAAGAAAGAGTATAAGAAACTTAAGTTCTAAATGACTACATCAACTTAATCGAAAACCTAATCAGAAGTCAAATTGCAGAGTAATTCCTCCTCTATAATAAATGATGAGATGACTGATATCATAATTGAGTAGACAAATTAGAATGATAACTATCAGTTAAGTCTAAAGAATCATTATTTATAATAGAATTCAGACCAAAATCTAATTCCGAGTCAATTTTCAATAGCTAAGCGACCCTTAAACATTACTGAATACTAGCAATTAAGGGAATAATCACTTAATACTTACAAAAAAGATTAAGAAGGAAATAGTGAGACATTGTCTCTATTAGGAAGTTAATAATCCTCAGGGCATTAATTGAAACATGTTGGTGTTTAAAAGTAGAACCGAGCTAAAGATGAGCTAGAGTTAGCAACAAACTGGAGAAGAGCATTTTAAGACATCTATACCAATCTTAAATGGCTGAATGCATTTACTACTATAAATGTAGTCGCTATCTAGAAGTACGGTTTATCTAAATTCAATATATATTATGTAGAGCAATTGATAAATTCATGAAATCATACTTTTTGATTAAGGACAATATCATAGATAAGAAACTACTTGCTTATTTGGATTCTAAGGAATTTTCAAGAAAGAAGGATGTAAACAGACAACAGAAAAAGATCATAAGATTTTTTGCAAATTTGTTTGAAAACGGAAGTGAAAGAAGAGCTAGATACGCAATGGAGAAAAAGGACGTAGAAATGAGGAGATAAGATTTAATACAAATATCAATATTTTCTGGTGCCTTAGCTGTTATAGCGATTGTAGCAATTTTAGTGCTATTGATACCTGGCGCAGAAGACCCTTGGGAAGACTGGATTGAAATATTCAGCAATCTATTTGCTTTTAGATTCTTACTGATGATTATTGTTGTTCTGGTCTTCTCTGCTGTTGATATTTATATACTGAGAAAGTTCAAAATTAACTATCTTTTTATATTTGAGCTGGATCCGAACTATAAAATAACGCATATCTAACTAACCAGAGTAAGAATACCAATATTTTGAATAATTATAGATTGCCTTGCTGCTCGGTCTCGTTTTATTCTTCTGCTTTACCTTTTAGTCATTTATGATTAAACTAGATTATTTATTTGATGAAGTCCCAGCCATTTTCACTTTAATAGCTATTTGTTTATTTGTATTGATTTGCTTTTTTCCGTTTCACTGCTTCTATCTAAAAGCAAGAAAGAATCTACTATTCGTTCTAATTAACATTCTCATCAGTCCTTTTGGGATAGTCAGATTTAAACATTTCTTCATGGCAGACATAATAACAAGCTTTATCAATCCACTAAAAGATATGGGCAACGTAGGTTGCTATTTTGTAAGAGGTCTTTGGGAAGACTCAGAAGAAACAAATAATTAAAATTGCCCTCATCTTGAAAACTACAAAATAACTATTGCTTTCATTCCGTTTTGGTTTAGACTTATGTAATGCTTTAGAAGATATCATGATACTAAAGTAAGAGCCCATCTGATTAATGGTGGGAAATATTTTAGTAGTATATTAGTTTAAACTGCTGGTGCTTTCAATACTAAGTTTGCAACATCTAATACCCTATATATACTAATAAGTATATCTATTTATTCAACTTGCTATTCGTTATACTGGGATTTCATTATGGATTGGGGTATGTTTAGGACCAAAGAAAAAGGTAAGAAGTATCTTCGTAGTAAATTGTTTTACCCAGTTTGGTTTTATTACTATGCTATGGTCTGCAATGTTATTTTGAGATTTTTCTGGATTGTACCTCTGATTCATGTTGATAAAAATGGATGGCTTTCAAAGTCTCATAGCATAACTTTATTTTTGACTCTAGCTGAAGGATACAGAAGAGCTCAGTGGGCTTTACTTCGTATTGAAAATGAAAATGTGAACAATTTCGAGAAATATAGAAATATCCTTCAGATTCCTGCTTTTATCGATGATGATTCAATTGAAAAAGCACCAAAGACAAGAACTAAGTGATGATCAAGAAGATTATTTCATAGTATTAAAATTGCTAGAGAGCTGCTTTGTTTAGTCTGATTGGTTAGTTAATTTTAAGAAAAATCAAACTAAAGTAATTTCAATAACCCATATCAAAAATATTGAAATATTTTCAAATAATTAACATCAGTTTATACAGTATTCATTGACATGGGGTTTTGGGGTTTTGGGGTTTTGGGGTTTTGGGGTTTTGGGG